CCATCCCATCCCATGGATCCCATCCCATGGATCCCATTCCATCCCATCCCATCCCATGGTTCCCATCCCATCCCATCCCATCCCATCCCATCCCATGGATCCCATGGATCCCATCCCATCCCATCCCATGGATCCCATTTTCCCTCCCAGCCATATGGCACCTGCCATGGGGAAATGCCAGCATAGAGCAAAGAGGAAAGGATTGAATTTTCCAAAACTGAGCTCCCCTGAGCAAACATCATGCACACATCCAGCTCCCAGCAGCTCCAACTGCAAAGCTGGGGCAGGGCTTCACAAAACCTACAGAGGCTGAACAACAAAAGATCCCTTTAAAAAGCAGCTAAGATGCAAAGCAAGCACTAATTCGAAATAAAACCAAATAAGACAAGGTCCCTCAGATCAGTAGYGCCACACTGGATGTGTGACAAGTTCTTGGCATTTTTTGTCCCCTTCCTTCCACGTGCTGGTGGCTTTCTGGAAGCTCCTCCTGGCATGCGTGGCTCTCTCCCAGTCAGTCACATTTAACTCTCAGGAGGACAGTGCAGCAGCATCCTGACAACCGGTTGGTATCTTTGTTTATTTGGGTTCTCTTTTTAATTCAGTGTTTTGTTGTCTGGTTATGAATCTTTTCTACCATTTGCAGCCTGCACCACAACTCGAGGGTTCGTGGTACCCGGAGGAAATCCACGCTGGTTGGGTGCCTGTGTTTTTCTCCTGGTTGTTGCTAAAGAAACCCTCAGTCCRTCCAGGGCAGTAGCTTGGAGATGCCACCTCAAGCACAGGCAGTTCCTCCCTGCAGACTCATTTTATGGGGCAGAAAAGTCCCATAAAGTCCTGAAAGCCCCAAGTGCTGGAATCAGGTTCAATAAATTCCCTTTGTAGGAATGTGTTCTCCTGCGAGGGAGAAAAAGGAGCCTGGTGGGCAGGAAGGAGCAAATCCCAGAGTGTAAGAGCAGCTCCGTGCTCACAGCAGGACAGCAAATCCATTTTCCCTTTACCTGAGAGTGGCTCTGCCAGCCAGGGCAGCCCAGTCCTCACCAGCAGGTGCAAAGATTCCCTCAAACCCCAGGAAAAATGAATGGGGAATACCCCAAGGTGTGCAAAACCATCCCCAGCAGTCAGAAAATCCTGTCAAACAGGACAGGAAAATAAAGCCCTGAACCCTCACAGGAGTTTGCTTTCTCTTCTCTTCAAAAGCTCGAGAAATACGCTCAATATTGGCTCAAACTTGAGATAAATCCCCAAATTTCCACTCTCGCAATCAGAGCTGAAATCTCCTTGCCCTTTTCTTCCCTGCCTTCCTTAGCTTTAATTTTTTAGGTCCCATCCAGCAGAAGAGCAGAATGTGGCCGGGGGAGCAGAGCAGCCCTGTGCCTGCAGTGTGGCAGGAGCTGGTTCTGCTGATGTCCCCAGTGCCCATCAGAGCCCTGGCCAGCTCTCAGTGCCCATCAGAGCCCTGGCCAGCTCTCAGTGCCCCCTGTGCCCCCTGGCCAGCTCCCAGTGCCCCTCATTGCCCCCAGGCTGGCTCTCAGTGCCCATCGGAGCCCTGGCCAGCTCTCAGTGCCCCTCATTGCCCCCAGGCTGGCTCCCAGTGCCCCTCATTGCCCCCAGGCCAGCTCTCTGTGCCCCTCATTGCCCCCAGGCCAGCTCTCTGTGCCCCCTGGCCAGCTCTCAGTGCCCCTGGCCAGCTCTCAGTGCCCCTCATTGCCCCTGGCCAGCTCTCAGTGCCCCTCATTGCCCCCTGGCCAGCTCTCAGTGCCCCTCATTGCCCCTGGCCAGCTCTCAGTGCCCCTCATTGCCCCCAGGCTGGCTCTCAGTGCCCCTGGCCAGCTCTCAGTGCCCCTTAGAGCCCCCAGCCAGCTCTCAGTGCCCCTCACTGGCTCTCAGTGCCCCTCACTGGCTCTCAGTGCCCCTCACTGCCCGCTGTTGTCCCTTGTCCGCCTCCCCCAGCTCTCCTACGTGGATTCAGACGGGAACCCCATCGGGGTGGTGCAGATGACCTTCCTGCGTCTCCTGAGCGCCTCAGCCCACCAGAACATCACCTACAACTGCTACCAATCAGTGGCCTGGCACGATGCCACCACCAACAGCTACGACAAGGCCATCCGCTTCCTGGGCTCCAACGACGAGGAGATGTCCTACGACAACAACCCCTACATCCGAGCTGCTCTCGACGGCTGCGCGGTACGTGGGAGCTCCTGACCCTGGGGACACCTTGGGGACATCCTGGGGACACCTTAGGGACACCTCTGTCCTCTCCCCTGCCTGTCCAGCACCATCTTTCCCAGAGCAAATCGCCCCTGAATTTCCCGTGGTTGATGCAGGTGTCACAAGGGTTGTCCTCAGTATGGGAGACATCAACTTAATCTTCCCTAAGTTGGAAATAAATAATTCCATGGGGATTCAAGACCCTGCTCGAGGGCAGGGGAAACTGCAGCACCTTCAGGAGTCAAATTAATCTGATTAATCCAATTAACCTGCCTAAAAATGCTGCTTGGTGTAAAAAGTGCCCCTGTGACTTTGCCCTTACCTGATTTCCCCCATGGGTATGAAATTTCACCCCRATGGGTATGGAATTTGCAGTTTTTGGTAAGAAACTCTCTCGCTGCTTCCAGGAAACCTTGGAGGCAAAGCAGGAAGGGTTTGGCAGGGATTGGTTGGAATTTCTGTTTGTGCAGCCTCAGGAAGGCTCTGGGCTGTGCTGATCATGGCCTGTCCAAGCACAGCCACCATTTCCAAAGGGACCCCACATCCTCCCTTTGCTTCTAACTCCTCCTGGATGCTTGATTCGGGTTTAAACTCTGAAAAATCTGCCCTCAGGAGATAAAAATTTGGCAAAGCAGGTGCTGCCTGCATTTATTTTGAGCCCCAGATTGCTGGTGCAAAAACACGCATAATTCCCACCCTCTGGAACTGCAGCACTTGAAGCCCACGGGACAGAAAGATTGAGATGTTTGACAGAAAAAGCTCCCCACGTAATTTGAGATTGAAATGGTTCAGTTCTGGCACAAACAGATTTTTTTTTACTGATAGAGCAATGAAGAAAATCAGATCAGAATCACTTCTTTTAACACGATTCTGAGAGGGAAAGGGCGTTCAGCCCCTTTTAAGGAAACGCTCAGAAGTTTATCCTCAAATTCTCGATGTCTCCTGCTGACATAACATCCTGGGGGACAAGGATCTCATCCCCTCCCTTCCCCTTCTGAATCCCAGAGATGCTGGAGGAGCACGTGGTGCACATTTTGAGGTGTTTGTGCCTCCTGCAAACCCCTGCTGCCCTGGCAGATGGTGCTGCCCACAGCACAGGCAGGATATTTCAGATTTATTTAKTTATTTCAGGGAGTTGGGGGCTTGCAATAAATTCTCTACATTCAAGATAATTTTAATGTATAATAAAATACATCATAAAAGACATTTAATAATTTTAAAGATGAATCTTTAATCTGAGACCCATAAAAAGGAAATTTAGAGGGTTACACCAGGAGTTTAGAGATGCTTTTACTCCTTTTGTGGGAGCGAGTGCTGCAACCCATTGGCACTCTGGGCTCGATTTATTGTTTGGAATCCATGGTCCTAATGGTCCTTTCCACCCTAAATAACACCAGGGTTGATCCCTACCCTGTGGAGATGAGGTTGGGCTGCCCCACATGGTGCAGTCTTGGTAGGACCTGCGGTGCTGGGGAGGCTGCTGAAGCCACATAGACTCCAGTGCTGATGTTCATTTTTTTTTAAAAAACATTATTTGAATGTTTTTCCTGAACTTGCAGCCCTTTCTCAGTAGCTGTGCTCCAGCCTGTTCTTCTGAGACACACAAATCACGGGGAAAGGTAGAGCCGAAAGCTGCTCCATAAATTCACTTGTTTGTGCAGCTTTGTACGCCCTCGGGGGCACTTCTGCTCCTCTAATAATTATTTATATTTTGGAAATAACTCCGTGGCCACCAGGCATGATAAAAAGACAACAGCACCTTGTGAATTCCATCAAACTTTAAATGTGATCTTTTTGGGTAATAGCCACGCTAATATATTCAAATTAAATCGCTCCCATTTGCTCGACAAGCCAGGCGTGTCCTTGGGGAGGGAGAACAGCCCTTCCAAAGCCACCACGAATTTCCCAGGCTCCCATTCCAGCTTGGAAATGTGCTGRGAGCAGGGTTGGAATGTCACGATCTGCTTCTGCTCCAGGCTCTGGGGTTTTTCAGMGATCACCCGAGGGCACATGCGCTAAAAATGCAAATAAACGCGTGTTTGGGCCAAAAACTTCCTCGGAACGATCAACCCCACATTCCCAGCAGAGTGGTGATTATTCAGTTGTGCTGATGTTGGCTCAGAGGCATCTTCAAAACTCCTCTCTCTCTGTTTTTCCCCCATTTCAGGCAAGGAAGGGCTACCAGAAAACCATCCTGCAAATCAACACGCCCAAAGTGGAGCAGGTCCCCATAGTCGACATCATGTTCAATGACTTCGGAGAAGCGGCACAGAAATTTGGATTCGAGGTGGGACCAGCTTGCTTCCTGGGCTAAGAGCCACCTGAACCTAGTCTCCAAATGAGCAACCTCGTAACCTCATTGCGCCATTTAATTAAAAACAAAAAAAGAGAAAAAACGAAAAGAGAAAAAAAAAAAAGAATTCCTCGTCACGTGCACGGTCTGAAACTGGACAGCGATGGGTTATTATTTTTTTTTGCCCCTCCCTCCCCACTGTTTTGTTGTGCCCCCATTTTTGCCCGAGCCCCTCTGTGCCCCCTTGGCCATTCCCACGACGGAGATGGAATCTCATGACCGCCAGCCACACATGGAGACCTGGCCCTGTTCCCGCTGCCACCACCACGGCCACCGAGCCAAGCCCACCTCCAGCAAACTCCTCCTTCTTCCTCCTCTTCTTCTTCTTCTCGCCACGAAGCGACAGCAAGGGCTTGCCCGCATTGTTTGTTTGTTCCTAAGGAAAAGATAAAAAATGGAAAAAAAACTTGAAATTCCTCGCGTTCAGCTCAACGTTGAAGTCCTGGATCCGAGCCTTGCCAAAGCTCCTCGGAGGGGTTTGGTTGCCTTTTGTGAGATTTGGATCAGCTCCAGCCAGGAGGTGCCATGGCCAATTCCAGAATTTTCCATGCCTCCTCCRCTGAGTTGCCTCATTCCTCATTTTTTTTTCCAAAGTGCTAACTCAAGGTCACACTGGGCATCTCGTTCCCATGTGTCACAGGTGCTTCTATTTTTGTATGTTTGTAAGTAAATATTTGTGTCGTATTTTATTTGAAATGTTGGAGTGTTTCTGCCTTCGAACCATGCAAGTGACCTTGTCTGGATCAAAGCCACCCCATCCCGGCCGAGCTTCAACCTGGGAATGAAACAACAGCTCCTGTCCCCACTTCAGTCCCAGTCCCAAAATGGGATCTGGAGGGTTTAGAATTACCCCCAGGATGAGGTGCAAACAGCCCCCCTCAGCCACAGATGCCTTTTGGGATGATTCCTTTAAAAATGAGGAAATTCGAGTCACTTTTTAACAAATTTCCTACAAAGCCCCTGATCTAAAAGCAGGATCTGCATCGAGTCTCTGCCTTTTTCTCTGCTTGCTTAGCACTCGTGTTTTAAATTAATTCCTCTTTTTTTTTCCCCTCAGCATCCCTTTAAAATTATAATAATAATAATAATAATAATAATTAAACCTGAATCCATTCCCAGTGGCAGATCCCAGTGGCAGGGGAAATCCATTTGTCCTCTTTGAATACCAAGTGTAAAAAATACAAAACAAAAAAAAATGAAGAAAAAAAAAAAGGTGCTTTTTATAGTTATTTTTACATATCTCTGTGGTGCTATCTGTTTGATAACTTTAACACAACACTGGTGATACCCTGCCACTGGCCAATCTCCCACTTGGCTTTTTTTGGCACTTTCAGGCAGATTTTGGCTGCTGATAAATGCATGGCACCTTCTCAGCTCTTCTGTAGAATCCCTGCTCCTCTCCTTCCTTGGATGGGTCCGTGTAGAAAAAAACCTTTGATGTGCTTACAAATGTTTCTCTTTTTTATCCTTTTTTTTGGTTTTCCCAAGGATATCCATGCCTTTTCCCGGTGGGAACCAGAGCAGATTGTCCTCAGTGGCTGAACAGTTTGTGGTGCTAATTTATGTCGATGTTGGGTGTCCCGAAGCCTCGAGGGTGCTGCCTGCCCAGCAATCCCGGGAATTTGCAATTTTCCTGCTCTTCCCACTTTTGTTTTTTTTTATTTCCTCCACGGCTCACAGCGTGCTGACACCCTCTCCTTTTACCATTTTTCCTCCTTGGCTGTTTCCCTTCATTAGGCCTCTCAGCTGGAAAATAATTGTTGCGAGGTGGGGACTTTTTTTATTTTTATTATTATTATTATTAATRTTATTCAGCCTGGAGTGCTCAGCTCAAGGGGAATCTTTCACCACGAAGGAAAAGACATCACATTTACTGTGAAAAAAGCCTATATATGATGTCTTTTCCCCCCTCCTGCTCGAATGGAGAGCAGCAGCATCCGAGGAAGGGAGGCAAAGCCGTGCTGGAGGGAGCAGTGATGCCAACGGTGCTTTTTCAGCCTGGAGGAGCCGTGTCCATCCTTCTCCCTTCTCCTCCTGTGCTTTCTCCCATTTATTTYCCTCTTAAAGGAATGAAAAAAACCAAAACAAACAACAAAAAAAAAATATAAAAGGTGCTACCCTAAAAACTGCAGACTCCGGCAGCAGAGCAGTGAAAAGGAATTTCGGATAATAAATCAGGAATTCAGCTTCTC